CAATCCGCATTTGATAGACTGCCGAGAGAGAAACTTTTTTCTTGCGTGTGTCTTCTTCTTCTTCTTCTTCTTCTTTGTGTTTATTTTATTTATCCCCCCAAAAGAAAAAAGAAATGAAAACAAAGACAGTCAAAGTAAGAATAACAAAAAAAAAAAAAAAAAAAAAAAAAAAAAAACAGAAAGAGGCTGACAAGTAGTGACTGAGATTGTGTGGTAGGTATGCTACGGAAACTGTAGTGTGAGCTGAAATACACTCAAAGCACATATTTTGCTGGTGAAAGCCTCTCCGAGTGGTGTGGTGGACAGCTGCTGGGCAGTGCTTGTTTCCTAATACCATTGATGTGTTATCCCATGACAGTGATGACAACAGATTAGCTGTGTATATAAACCGCAGTATTCATTAAGTTTTACTCGAGTGTCTCATCGCTTTGCCGTTTCATGACAGCTTTGACTGATGTGGGATTGACGTCATTGGTACAGAGATGGACCAAAGATACGCCATGAATTGAAGCTTCGAATCTGCCTTTCCCTGTACAAAAAAGTGGTATGAAAAGGACGTTCGAAACAGAATTTAAATTAGGTTTTGATAAGACTTTTGATCGTGACTGCATCTTAGTACCGACGAGAATAGGTTTTGATAACAGAAAACATAAATGCGGAGAAACAGTAATAAAATGGTTTTTTTTTCATATACTCCCAGGGTTTAAATATTCTATACCGGTATCCTTTTAACTGAATGCTTTTAAGTTCGTATTGTTATTCCACATTACATTTTCATTTTATCGTATCATTATCATAATTATTATAGTTGTAATGATCACTATTATTGTTATTACTATCATTCTACGAGCAGAAGGAAAGCAGTGCAATAGCCAATCAATTACAGTCCTCTAAACTTGGCAATGTGCCCTGATGGATAACAAGATAATGAAATCAATCCCATGTGCTAAATATGTAAATGTGCTGTCACACTAGCACTTTATCCGTCATTTTTTTACAATCTTATTTAACATAAGTACAAACATTCTCGAATATAGCTCTTGATTTGACTTTGCTTGGCTGAAAAAGTTGACGGAAAGGTTTTCAGACGGAAACGGTCATTATCGTCTGGTGGAAAATCGATAATTCGCTCAAAATGGACAAAATTCCAGAAAACTGTAAAAAAGAATTGACGGGAAAAGGGTTAGTGTGACAGCACCTCAATGCAGTGCCACGGTGTGTTTGTATTCCAGATTTGCTTGCTGTGGAGGAATGTCAATAGTACAGAAGACGTAAACACAACGAGGAGTTTTCACACATATTTCAATTTTCCACAATTCGCATTTGATAGACTGCCGAGAGAGAAACTTTTTGCTTGCGTGTGTTTTCTTCTCCTTCTTCTTCTTCTTCTTTGTGTTTATTTTCTTTATCCCCCCAAAAGAAAAAGAAATAAAAACAAAGACAGCCAAAGTAAGAATAACCAAAACAAACAGTAAAACAAAAGCACAACGTTGCGAGTCTCAAGCTACTCCTCGTCATGCTGGAGTGTTGTGTTTCAACTAACATGAATCGATCGAACTTTTTTCTCGGCAACACAGATTTACTCAGGCCAGTTCCGGTGAGAGGTTTATGCGGTCAAGACAAACACTTGTTCCGTGTTTTTTACAAGGTGGAACAGATTTTTTTTGCTCCATGCTCTTGGTCCGCATATATAATATATATATATATATATATATATATATATAATATATATATATATTATTATATATATATGAGTGTGTGTGTATATATGTATATATATATATATATATATATATATATATTATATATATATATATATATATATATGAGTGTGTGTTATGTATGTATATTTATATATATATTATATATATATATATATATATATATATATATATATATATATATGACTTTTGTGTGTGCGTGTGCGTGTGCGTGTGTGTCTGCTTGTCTGTTTATCTTTAATTCTGTCAGTCTTTTTGTTTGTCTCCCTTCTCTCTCTCTTGCTCTCTCTCTCTCTCTCTCTCTCTCTCTCTCTCTCTCTCTCTCTCTCTCTCTCTCTCTCTCTCTCTCTCTCTCTCTCTCTCTCTCTCTCTCTCTCTCTCTTCTCTCTCCTCTCTCTTTCTCTCTCTCTCTCTCTCTCTCTCTCTCTCTCTCTTCTCTCTCTCTCTTCTCTCTCTCTTCTCTCTCTCTCTCTCTCTCCTCTCTCTCTCTCTCTCTCTCTCCTCTCTCTCTCTCTCTCTCTCTCTCTCTCTCTCTCTCTCTCTCTCTCTCTCTCTCTCTCTCTCTCTCTCATCTTGCTCTCGACACCTGGTTTAATTAAGCAACGCATTCTTAATTCGAGACTATTATAATTACTCTCTGACCCTCTCCTTAAATCCTGCTGCTTGTTGACCTTTTGACCTGTTCCTAGCAGCTCCTATTGACTTGGTCCCAGCGGATTCTGTTGACCTTATCCTAGTAGATCCTATTTACTTGTTATCCTAAAAGATCGTTTTATCCCGCTCCTGGCTGAACAAATTGACTGATCCTAGCAGATCCTTTTGACTCTCCTAGATCCTACTACACCACCGCACACACGCACACACAACACGCACGCACGCACACACACACACACACACACACACACACACACCACACACACACACACACACACCACACACACACACACACACACACACACACACAACACACACACACACACACACAAACACACACACACACAAACAAACACACACACACACACACACTCTTTTCTTCCTTCATATGACTGAATCTGCGACGTAGATTTCAGTCAGGGCGCCAGCGGGAGAGCCGAGGGGCGCCACCCTCCCGGCCACGACCTCCTGTCCTTCGTCTGCTCGCTCAGTCCCCTGGAGAGGCCCTGGAGGAGCGGCTCGGCGGGCGGTTCCTCCTCGGGCTTTTGCGAGAGTGAAGCAAAAACAAGTTTCAATATTTTTTTTTTTTATTGGAAAAATAAGTAGAAATAAGTATATTGTAAACACACACACATACATATATTGCATCTATATATATTACATATATAG